GCTGCACACATCTGAATATTTGGGTTGTACTGTTCTGGAACAGTGTTGTAAATACAACTTAACCACTGATTTCTAGTCGTGTCCTCTTTTGGAAGGCCAAACAAAATATTTTCGCTTTCGCAACGAAACACACAGCGTCTTCACAACATGGCGGTGGCAGCAACAATAAATTACGCCTTTCTTCCTTTGCGTGAACATTTGGGCGGCGTTATGCATATCTTCCCACATTGTGATGTAGACATGTGGGGGCGTGCTTAAATGAGGCATTTTAGGAGGGCGTGGACGAGTCTTAACTTTTATAAAGAATATCTCTTTGGGTTTGAGACTTTAGTCTTTGCAACTTTAGGGATCTTATCTATTCACGAACAGCTTTTAACACTCCAAAGAGAAAGGAAAACTTGAAATTGCATCATATGACCCCTTTAAAATTCATGGAACCTTTCCATTACACAACAGGTTCTTTATTGGTTCTTTATATTTTTTTAAATGTTCTTTAGGGTGTACATTAAGGGAAAAAATGGTTATTTTAAGAAATGAACACTGAAAGGTTCTTTGGGGAACCAAAAATGGTTCTTCTATGACATCACTGAACCACAATTTAGTCATTAAAATCCACAGGTGTCATGATGGTTGCAGACATGAAAAAAACATGTCTAAAAATGGCTCACTCAAAGATCATTTCATGTTTCCCCTGTTTTAAGATTCAGTCGTGACCAAATGGTGTGGTAATTTGTTTGCTTTATAAATAGTCCATTAATTTATATTAGTTTGACCCATATATGTTTAAGAACATAAAGTACTGTACTGTACGCTGTAACAGGTCAAGCATTGTATAAATCTATTTTTGTATGCTTCACCCATAATAATACTTATGATACATTTTACTTCGGGTGAGTTTCATGCATTGATAGCTGATCGATGTGGACAGTTTTATAGCACTTGTACATGGAGTTAGGTGTCAGATGAAAGGATATGCACATCTACAGGAAAGGTAATTTTTAAAACATATTCACGAAAGTTGCTATGACAACAGTGAGACTGCCATTCCCAAGCGTGAGGACACAGTTTCTGGTACCAGAAGTGCTTTGGTGTCTGCATTGATTATGGTGTAATTAGAAAATGGAATATTTCCATTTGGCATTGCGGTAGTAGATAGTGTTAATATCATTAACTCACCTTACGTAAGCAACGAGGGGCCACATTTACACATCTGCTTTACGCATCGGCGTGTCTGTTGTGGAATTCTAGAATAGTAATTCAGCCACTTTAGTTTCATGCATTTTTGTCATGTTGCCTTTATTTGACTTATGGGTAATGCAATACTTATACAATCTAGTATTAGTTTGGAAAAGTTCATAATTATGTAACATGTAATTTACTTTCTAAGCAAAAGTTTTGAACCTTTGAGCAAGTTTTATGATTTTAAGAATTAATCTTATAATCAAGGTTAACTTATAATTAATAATATTTAAAATCCTACTTTTTTATATATTTATATTTGCAGAGTCTTGGAGCCACCGGCAGATACGAAACCCATAAAAAGTAAGTGGTTTATTTTACATACATTACCTTCTAAAACTGCAAATGCAATTGCCAGAAATGAAAAGGGTGACAGATGAAGACTAATGATGGCACTATCAAATGTCATATTGTTCACAAACCTGACACACTTGAGGAAACTCAGCAATATGATGTAAGTGTAACTACAGTTGCCTAATGAGTTTGGTATGAATGCTTTATTTATTTATTAATTAATTCAAGGCATTAATTCAAATTCAATACTCTATTTCCGGTTTAAACATGTTCTGACTTCAAAAACAAGATATCAGATGGTCTTGTTATCCCAGAAGAAGTTTATACCTGTTTATTTTGTGCTGCTTCTTATCATTGTTATCCACTGTGTTTCACACTGCAATTTTTCATCTAATTAAAATGCACAGAGAAGCAAGCTATTGATTTTATCAATATGAATCCATGGGGGGTTTATTAACGCATAGGCACCATTACTCAGTAGCAGCCAATATCCAAGAGTGTTATATAAGCTATTTTTAGAGCATAATTGGTTGTTCTGGTCACCTGTTCAGATTGAGCTTTATCAAGGTTTGCTTTGTGACATCTCAACCTGACTGAACTATCTGCATCATTTTCTGTTTGCTAATGTATTTATTCATTCATTTTATACATGGCAAATTATTCATGAGCAAAAACAATGCATTTGCTGATGAATACATTGACATTATAGGTCAACAAAATGGAAGGTACCACTTTCTGACACCATATTCTCAGCCTTTAATCCATTTTGTTGAAGTGAAAGGGAATTATTCTAAATATAGCACCTAGAAATTGTGCTGAGTTCTGTGGCAATTGCCAGTCTGTAACAGGTCTGCAGGTGTTTGTCATTCCTTTTGATGCAGTTTTATTTTTACAGTCAAGTATTGTATTCAGCTCAACACAATAATACATTTTCTACAACCAGAAAAGCCTCTTATGAGGTTTTTAAACCCCTAACCTGTCAGTTTGTTTGGGTAATAGTGTGTTTGCATGCACACGTCTAATAGCTGCAGAGGGAAACTGTTTTGAATGCTTGGTGAGAAACCGTGCTGCCTGCAGTCTGAATCAGTGGAGCCCATGGTATCCATTAAGAAATACGGCACTAGTAGTGTTGCTATGGAGATCAACTCAATGGAAACCACGTTTAAGCCTCAGAAAGACATAATCAAGTCCTTTGGCTTTAGTTCCAGAGATACGCGCTGCAACAGTGTGGTGGTGATACACTGTGTTGTTTTGCAATTTAATGATTCAGATTATTTCAACTTTATTAAATAATGGCAACACTTTGGTATAGGGACCAATTCTCACTTTTAACTAGTTGCTTATTAGCATGCCCATTAATAGCATATTGGCTGTTTATTAGTACTTATAAAGCACATATTCTGCATGACCATATTCTACATCCCTAATCCTTATATACTAACTATTAATAAGCAGCAAATTAGGGGTTTATTGAGACACAAGTCATAGTTAATGGTTTGTTAATAGCGAGAATTGGACATTAAGATAAAGTGTGACCAAGATAATTTTAGTTTGTTGTCTGATACTGCTGTATTCCATCATGCATGTATCAGCTTTTGTAGCAGTGCAATTATGTGAAGTTTTGTTATTAAAGTGATAGTTGACCCTAAATGAAAAATCTGTCATCATGTACTCATTTTCGTGTCTTTCCAAACCCATTTGACTTTTTTTCTTCTTTGGATCACAAAAGTAATAGTTTAGAACAGGGGTGCCCAATCCTGCTCCTGGTGATCGACTGTCCTGCAAAGTTAATCTCCAACTCTAATCAAACACACCTGCCTTTAATTTTCAAGTGATCCTGAAGACCTTAATTAGTTGCTTCAGGTGTGTTTGATTAGGGTTGGAGCTGAACTTTGCAGGACAGTCGATCGCCAGGAGCAGGATTGGGCACCCCTGGTTTAGAAGAATAGTTTGGTTGCTCTTTTCCATACAATGCAAGTAGATGGGAACTACGACCTGCCAAGCTCCAAAAATGGCAAAAAGCACCATAAAATCCTAATAAAGAAGTCCACACTACCTGTGCAATATATTTCTTGACATCTGAAGCCACAGATTGAAATTTAAAGGAATAGGTCAGCCAAAAATGAAAATTTGATGAGCTCACCAATCGATCATCTGCAGTGAATGGGTGCCGTCAGAATAAGTTCAAGCAGCTAATAAAAAATGATCTAATAATCACAATAATCTAAAAGTAATCCACACAACTCCAGTCATCAATTAACGTCTTTTAAAGTATAAAGCTATGTGTTTGTAAAAAAAATAAAAAAATAAAGGCTGTCAAATATAAGACTATAATGCAGGGGTGGCGAACGTCGGTCCTGGCGAACCGCAGCCCTGCAGAGTTTTGCTTCAACCCTAATCAAACACACCTGAACAAGCTAATCAAGGTCTGAACGTTATTAGGAAGCTACAGGCAGCTGAGTTTTAATTAGGGTTAGAGCTGAACTCTGCAGGGCTGCGGCTCTCCAGGACCGGAGTTCGCCACCGCTGCTATAATGCATAATAACTTATAAAAACCCTCCAGTAGAAAAGTCCATCCCCTTTTTGTCCTCTCACATCAACTTTTTGAACTGTTTTTGCTTGATCTGTTAATTTCTCTCCTGATTCAGATGAGATGACTTTCTCACTGGAGAAAGCAATATTATGATTAGAGGACTCTTATTAAGCCAGAAACAATGGTTTAAATTTATAAATGTCTTAATGATACATTTGTTTTTTACAAACAAGCAGTTTTTCATTTCACAAGATCTAAATGGATGGACTGGAGTCGTGTGGATTACTTGCAGATCACTCTGATGTTTTTATCAGCTGTTTGGACTCTCAATCTGATGGCACCCATTCACTGCAGAGCAAATTATGTAATGTTAAATTTCTCCAAATCTGTTCTGATGAAGAATCAAAGTCATCTACATTTTGAATGGCCTGAAAGTGGGTAGGCTACATTTTCTGCAAATTATCAGTTTTAGTTGAACTATTCCTTTAAGTTATTCACTAAAAATCTTGTCTGACAGCGTGGTCACCATTCACTTTCATTGTATAGAGAAGAACAGCTTGAACTCCTTTTGTGTTCCACAGAGAAAAGAAAGTCATACCGGTTTTGAAAGACATGAAAGCGAGTAAATACTGACATGATTTAATACTAATAGTAGAGCATTGTACAAATGACAAATTAAGACTTTATCTTTAAAACAGCAGGTGGCTTCACAGACAAAAATAAAAGTTTGAACGTCACAATCTTCTATTCGCTTCCTATGAGCAATGATAACATCAGGACCAGTTGGCAGCTGCTTGATTTATGCTCGGTCAGTCGAGACAGTCTCTGGCTCACTTTTCACCGATAGATGTACCCCGCTCGTGACACGGGAGACTTTAAAGTGATGCTACCAGTCGAAACATTGCTTTTGATGTCTGAATTTTGTGCCAAAAAAAGAAGAGTCCAGGTTGTTTTCAAGATGAGTTGTACTTTCACTGACACAAATTGTTCTGAATTATAGTTTCGGTATATAGCCAAATTGAGGCTGACTCACACTAGCCTGGGACACAGAAATCCATGTTGCCCACACATAGAGGTAACACTCGAGTTTGTTAAGGAGGGTTACATAAAGATCTCTTTAATGTTTATATAAGCTTTATACGACACTTGACTTTTATACGCTGAAGGATTGAATCACAGAGTCCTTAATCGTGTGCCAATAGTTTAGCTGAACAGATTTAGCCATTAAAACACAGTCACAGTTTACTAAACTAAAGTATTATTAAATTTTGTTGCCTGCAGTGGGTGCCTTCAAAGTGAAGTTAGTTCACCCAAAAATTTATATTCTTCTGGGGAATATAAAAGAAGATATCCATACAATGGAAGTCTGTGGGCTCCAATTTGTTGTTTGGGTCACCCAATGTTCATCTTACTTCAATGCATACAGGTTTGGAACGACATGAGAGTGAGTGGAGTTTGTTTTTGTTGTTCATTTTTGATCAAGCTATACATTTGATTAGCATTGCATTCATGACCTTAGTGTTTCTAGTGTGGTACTCTACCCATTAAGTTACACAAACATCAGCATTTTCATTTATAAAATCTTGCATACAGTTGAAAATTCACTCTCCAAGTTCTTGGAACATGATTTTGGCTCTAGTATCCACTTCCCACTTTTTCTGTTCACTGCAGTAGCTGTTTCAAGACTAATCGCCATCCTACATATGGTTTGCTCTTAGCCTGAGAAATCGTGGATTTGACTGCCAGTAAACAGTATTTTTAGTTTTTGAACAAAATGCTAATAGAAACCAAGCCTCCAATCCCATACCCCTGATGAGATGTGTATCTCAGAGTTGTTGTTGTGGCCTCTGTTTTGCCTGCCATGCAAATGGAACACTTAGCCTTGAGCTGCGGAGAGGAGCCGCGCACAAAAGCCTGCTGAGAAGAGAGCACTTGCTCTTTCACGCCGTCGTGACTTGGTATACTGCCTTCTGATTGGCTGTGCGCTCGCTCCTCTCATAGCCCCCCTTCTGCTGGTTTCTTGTCTTTCCATGAGTCAAGAAATATCTGGAAGCAGCTGCAATGCGAGACGACTGGATCAAGTTGGAGATGACATTAGTTTAGAAGTGGTTTTGTGATAGCTACAACTTCACATGAAGTTCCATGAGTACTCATAAAGCCGTTTCATGCTTCAAGCAATAGGAACGAAGAAGAAAGGGTGTCTTTTTTATCTCCTTCCATTTGCATCACTGGTTCTACCTGTTTTCACACCTTTCCTTTTGTACTTTTAGTCATCCTACACCTGCGCTTATGTACTGTTACTTGCTGGCCTGGTTTCCTTATTGTTTCCTTCTAGTATCACTTTTAACTTTCTCTTGACGTTAGAAAGAAACTAAGCCCTTCTTAACGGAGCCACTACATGTTGACAGAGTTATTTGTCTTGCTTTTGTAAATTAGTTTTTTGTCCCAATGCTGCCAAACATGAGATACTGAGTTTATAAAGCGTAATGTTGCACAGAGGTATTCTTGTAGGCCACGGGCTGGAATAGCACTGTGCAAAAGTAGCAGTAAACATTCACGAAATCCTAATTAATTAATTAATTTACTTCTTATCAGAGATTGCTTTGGGCTGAGTGCTGCACAGTGATGCTGTATTTTATTTAGATATTTTTTTGTAATACCCTTTCAAGGATTTCTACTGATAGGAACTGATGACATGGGTATCTCGCTGTACCATTAGTGTCAGTTTTCATTAAGCTTGTGTTCCCTGAATGCTCGCATGCAAGACGATGAGAGCTTTGCTTTTAAGCTGCAGCTATGGAAACAGCTTTGTTCTGCCATCATGTAAAAGGTTCTTCTGTATTTTTGCCATTATATTTGTTTCGACACAGTTCCGTCTTAAAGAGGCCGACCCCTTATGGTGTCATTTCAGCATATATACTTTGAGTATTGCATGTGAGACAGTTTTAGTCCTGAAAGCATGTGTTGAGAAGTAGTTTTAAAGCATTTGTATATGAATAGATTTTTTTAATTCAAGTTTAGCTGTCTTAAATTGCTGTTTTCTACAGTAGACAGATACAATATAGTATGTGCTGTGTGTATATAAAACAGATTATTGTATAATATATTATATCATACTATATTTGAAAACATATACACTGAAAAAAATTGTAGGATTTACAATTTCACTCTCTTTTACTAATTGTTAGTAAATTTCACAAATAATTCTTAAGAAATGGCAAGTAACACATTGAATTAAAAGTTACATTTTACAAGTTACAAATTACATTACACATTAAATCAATATTTTTGAGATTAGTAAAAAAGGCTGAAATATACTGTGTTTTATTTTTATCAATCATTTTACAGTGCATAATACTGTTTACTAATTTATTATATAATCGTACAGTTCGCAAAACAACAAAGCAAACAAGAACATTTATAGCTTTAAGAACGTTTCACGTAAAATAATGTACATATATTTACATCAGTAAATTTGATTATTAAATTTGATTATTCATTTGTTCTTTCATATAGAACATGTGCTATTTGATGTATAGAGTGTAACAGGACTGACGAGACGTGAGGCGTGAGGATCCATGTGCAAACTTTTAAGAGACGTGGTTTTAACAGGCATGGGTCAGACAATGGCAAACGGGTATATCGAAGGCAAGACAAGAGATAAATCCAGGTAGAAGGCAAAAGTCCAAGCAGGGGCAAA